TCACGTGTGTGATGATAACTTCCAAAGCATAATAAAAACTATTTACGAAGGCCTGTGGTTAATGTCTCTCCTGGAAATGCCTGATAGCCCTTTACAAAGTGTTGCCCTCTTGTAATGGTATCTTAGTCCTAGTCTCAGGTGGCTTAGGGAAAGAAATGAAGGATCATGAAGTCATCAAAAATGTTTCTGTGGCATGGCTGGAAAAGGTGCAGGGGCTACTCTGCCTTGATGGGCAGTGTTGCTCAAGTACTTGAAATGAAGGATGCTTTGTAAAGGTAATCTGCTACTGATGCACAGCAGTGATCTGCAGTGGCTGTGACAAGGTTCCATGTGGTCTGTAAGAGCAGCATGTTAGTCTGGAAGAGTTTTGTATTAGTCTGAAAGTGGGGTTTGGCTCTGTTTATTATTTGGTCCCCTGGTAGGATAAAGATGTTACCTGTGTGATGCTCTTTATCTGGTTATGAGAGAAGCTTAGTTTAATATGCTCATATCCCTCCCTGGAAGACAGTCCAGATGCAAGTGGCACTTGCCAGTGACCAAAGCACCCAGAATTGCTTCAAATACCAGACTAAACTTGCCCTAAATTGGCTCTAATATCCCATCAGGATGAGCTCTTCCCAGGACTATAATGTGACTTCTAAGACAGCTCTCTAAGGCTGACAAATTCCAGTGGCAAAAAAAATCAAGGATTTGCCTTTGACAGGGAGTTTCCAATGAATCTTGCCTGTCTGGTTTGACACTGCCGCTCCCAGCTGTCTGCCCTGCCCCTGTGGTTAAGGTCACTGCCTCTGTAGGTGAGCTGACGAAACAGTGTTTGCTTGCACCTCAGCCACCCCTGGTCAGAGCACAGCAAATAAATTAAACTACTGCTGAAGATGGGTTTGTGCTAACATGCTGGACTAGATCACGCCCTTCAGCAGAAACCTGTATCAGACAATGTAGAATAGTAATACTGCAGGTTAACACACTAAAAATCGCAAGTCTATCCCGCAGTGCCATCAAAACCCTTTGTTAGGAAGGGGTGGCAAAACCTGACTCTTGTGGAGGATCTTCTTTCTCCTGGCAGTCCTTGCTTCACCAGTGCCTCTCTTTGGGAAAACTACTTGAGTTGCTCTGATGCAAGAGTTCTCAATGGGTCTTGTGTTACACAAAATTTAAGTAGAGAGTTACTGCCCTGAGGAGCTTGCAGTCTTAAAAATGAAAACAAAATGGTGTTCTGGTTTAGTGTTATTGTAGGAATGACATTTTTTCATTGCTGTTTGACCCGGATAATTAGCCTGATACCAAGACAGCCCAATTCTGTCTTAGGTTAAATCCTTTGTGTTTTGCATGTACAGGAGAAGATGCAAATACCTGTTCTTATATCTCTCCTAAGACTGATCCACTCCTTTGGGTTTTAGCCTGTGTCCTTTCCAAGCAGTTAGCAGACATTTTAATTCTTGCTTTACAGCTGCTTTTTTTTTTTTTTTAAAAATATCTTATTATGAGCTGGAGCGCTACTTGCAACATGCTTCATCAGCCGCAACCAAACTTTGAGCTCTTTGTGCAGTTAGGCAGCCTGTGTCTTGTAAGCCCTGCCCTGTTCACATCAGTAGTAAAGGAGCAGGTTACAGCTGGAAGCAGTTTATTTAGTTTCCCAGATTGGTTTCTGTGGGGTCATCCCAAGGAATCCAGAAATGCACCCAACCCAACACCTGAAATAGAACTTAGTCATATATGGAAGAGTCTCTTCAGTCATACGCACAGATGCTGATGCTTTCCCTGCCCCACTAATGGATGTTTTTGTGGCTGCTGAGCTTTCTGCATGTAATTGGCCATTTCAGTGGCAGCCCAATCACTTTCCCCTGAAAAGCCATTCCCACTGTAGCTGTTGCCTCAGTGACCTCCATGTAGGAGGGGTAGAAGGGGTATCTAGATCACCTGTCTGCAGGAGGCAAACCTAGCTGAATCTGTCATTGTGAAAGAGGAATGCTGCGTGACCTTTAAGTGGGCAGTGCACTTTTAGCTGTGTTGCTTACTCCCTGTTGTTGTCTTTGAAAAGGTGCTGGTAAACAAGTAAAGATACTGGTAAACAATCAGTTCCTGACAGGCCAGATCAACTTCGGTCATAGCCATTCAAGGATTGAAGAGAGCTTGGTATCTTCAAGACAGAGAATCAGCTGCTTTGCTTCTGTCTTTGTAGCATGCCATGAGGGCACAAAAAGATTTTCTTTCCCTCTCGAAATGTTTTGTATGTGAACTATCAAATGTAGGCTCCAGCCCAACAAGAATTCAAAATAATGATAACCCAAGATTGAACTCAGATTATCTTACAAAGAGAGGTCTCAGCTTAGTTAAACTGCATTAACTTGCATTTGCTGTGGTTCACGAGCATGCATGTTGTCTCAAGTGCTGTAACATGGTCATGTGTCCAAATGTAGCAGCCAGAATATTTTTAAATGCAATGTAAGTGTTGATTATAACTAAGGGAAAATTGCATTAAAGGTTAGTTTATACACCTTCATAAACCTTCAATTAGAAAAGCACGTGAACTTTCATACATTCTGAGTTATCTTAGTATAATCAAGAGGGCAAAGTTCCTTTACCGAAACATTCTTACACAGTATCTGCATACCAAACATTACAGCCTTATGCTAGTGATGGTGCTGAGAAAAATCATCTAGCACTGGCCACATCTGGCTTTGTTCCCCATGATCACACTGTGCTCATTTGAAGCACTCTCATGTGGTACTGATGTCCTTATGTATCAAAACCAACTGCACATCACGGGCTGCAGCTTACTCTTTTTCTGCTACTTGCAGAGTAAGCCCAAAGACAACTTCTGTCAAGCAGAGTTTCTAGAACCTGCTTTTTCCTGGGTTCTAACAACATCTGCCTTAAAGCACAGACAAAAATTCTGTTTGCATCACTCCATATTGAGGGAATACAGAACAATGCCCAGGGTGGAGAAAAATCTATGTCTTGGGCCAGAGGAGAGGCATCTCGGGTCTTTGTGCTGTCACAGCTCAGCAGAATAAAACAAAGCCTCCTGGTAGGGTAAGTAATTAATCTGGACTCCTATGCATTACTGTGCTGCAGCTAATTATAGCTCTAGTTTAGGACACTCAGCTCATGGCCTGTCCACCTAGATCTTCCCTCTGAACTTCTGTTTGAACCTAGTCTGTGTTTTTAACAGCGCTCAGAGCTCTTTGTGAGTGTGCTGCTCTGCTTTCTCAAGGGGTGTGATATGAGTGAGCAGCTGTCAATCCATGAGCAATGCCAGATCTACAACCAGCGCAGCTCTGGATTTTGTTATTTTACTTACAAATTTGAGATTTCAGGAGGGCAGGCATGTCCTATTAGCCCCTTACTAAGCCAAAAATTGCATGTCCCTAGGGCTATCATAGATATATATGGACCTGATAAAGAAAGGCTATTTCTCCAACCTAGTGGGTGAGGCGTAGAGCCTCTTGGAGCAGCCTTAGGACAAGGTATGAGCTGCATGGCTTGCTAACTTCCAGGAGGCTGTCGCATACAAGAACAGCATGTGAAGGGAAGCAAGCCCTCACATCACAGTTGTTACTGCAGTTTGGATTTTGTCCTCTCAGAGATGTGCACAGCCCACAGCTTGTTCACTGACACTTCTGCTGGAAAACAGGAGGGAAGCAAAAGGCAGTAGTCGTCACCCTGTTACTGATAAAGATGAAAAGACTAATGTATTTAAGATATTACTGGTCCAACCCAAGAGTTCTTGTTTGTCTTTGTTAGCTAACCTGCACGTCCCTTTTGTTCCAGAGTTGGCCCCTTCTGTCCCTGTCTGACAAAACACGTACTCAAAAGCTAGCCTTGAACATACTGTTACATAGGAGCCCCGCTGGATATGACTCAGCAACTCATCTCTTGTGTTTGAGTGGCAGGCATGAGAGCGTAGGCGCAGGATATAATGTGAGAGTCTACTCTGCCTAAGCAATCAGCCTCCCTTTGCTGTCTTATTTCCTAGCCACATGTGTCAAGTTACTGACTTGCTGAGAGGCTGGATGTAGTTTCCTCTGTATTTTTCCAGCCATACGTTAGTTGTAGCCAGAAGAGTTTGTGCAGCAAGACAATGTGTCCTACCTCACTTCTCATTTGTGAGACCTACCTGTCTGCAAAAGACTTGCTCCAAGATGCTCCGTGCAGGGAAATTGGGAGCGGGTGTTTTTTCACTTCAGTTTTTCTTTAGCGTCTAAGAAGAGAGCAAAAGCAAGCAGGGCACAGCTGTTTTTCTCTGTTTTAATATACAAAATAAGCATTTTTCCAACATCTTTTTAAATGATGAGAAAAATCATTCCCAGACCTTGCTCCTTTAGAAGACACTTCTAGATCATTAAGTCCTAAATTCCACAAAAAGGAAAAGCAATCTTTCTTCCATTAGCCTTAGCAGCTGTTTCACTAACTTCCCCTTAAGTAGACCAGGTGCACTCAAACATTTTCCTTCCATCCTACTGTATATTTTCTGTCCGACCTTCATGAATAACAGGGCTTAGTAAGACTTACAAAGTACGTGCAATGCTGTAGAGTCAGGTACAGCAGTAACAGCTGGGTCCCAGCCAGACTGAAACAGCGTGCAGCTTAACAGTAACTGATTTTCCATGTTGATGAATGAGTGATAACCAATGCCTTGTTTTCCTTGCAGTGGATGGAAAGAAAGAAGTCTTGATGAGCTCCTGAGAATTGTATTCAGTGCTCCTCAGCCAGCATGGAAATTCCTAGAAGAAACTAAAGGAAGGACATCTTGTCCTGTTCCCCAGGTTAACATGCCCTTTAAGGATCAAGAAAACGTACAATCTAGCTCCCTGCTGTGCGCGTAGATCTGGAAGGAGTGGAGACTTCAAACCACTGGGACAAAGTTCGCAAACTTGGTGATGTTTCTCAATAACAGTAAGTCCTAAACATATTCTGAAGTGATGTTGCTGATCCTGGTTTTTGTGGGGAAGAGACACGTTTCCATGTGACCAAAGCTGGGTGTTCCATGTGGGCAAGGTCATTTCTTCTGAGGATTGGTGACTCTCCGGAGACCTTTCAATCGACTAAGCAATTCCGTAATGAAGTCCTACAATGAGAATTGGTTGAAGAAGGTTGTCACGTTAATTCCAGTGCTCACCAGCCCAAAGAGTACTATGGCACTTGCGTTATTCCCACATTCGCCTTCATGTTGAGCAGAAACCAGAATTTTGACATGTATCGAGCAAACCTATCTCTTAGCTTAGGGAAGGAGACCTTTTGATGGATGAGAAGGGTCTAAAAGCCCCTCTACTTCCCTTCCCCTGTCTCCCTCTGGAGCAGCCTTGTTTACTTTCTCCCCAGGAGCCAGCCTGCCCCCTTCATCCCAGCTACCTACTTTTTCCACCTTGAGATGACCTCAGGATGCTGTTGTCCTCTGTTAGGTTCCACTGCTTCCTGTTGCCACCATAACCTCCTGCCCACTTCTGCTGCCCTCCCAATCTAGGGCAAAGCAAGCTGTCCCTCTTGTTGAACCTGTAAAGCTCCATGTTGTGGATTGCAAACCATCTTAGAGCTGTGCCAATTCTACAAGGAAGTGGCCGGCAGAGAAGAGGTGGAGCAAAACACCCGTAGGACTAATGATAACCTGGAGCAGGGGTTGAGGACAGGCAGAGCAGGCAGGAGATAAACCTCGACTACTTTGCTGACACAGCCAAGTACTATGAACTAAACTGGACCATCTGGTTATTCCAAGCAGAAGTCAATGTGACTAGTGCAGACTTTACCCCCTGCATGACAAGTAACATCACCATAAAGGAGTGCGCAGCCTTTCTTCACCCAAACAGATAGCTACATGTCCTTGTAATTAGGCAAGGTCACTGGAAGTATTGCAGCTTGTTACCATCTGTGCTGTGTGGAAGCCCAGCTTCCTCACTTGGGTGATCAGAGGTTGCCTGCCACAGCATGCTCTGGAAGTCAATGCCTAGGATCATACATACCTTTTCCGTCAGTCCCTTCAGAGGAAACCAGTTTGTTTCCTCTCTCTGCTTTCTGCAAATAGGCTGCTGTGATCTTTCAAGGGGACTGGATTCAAGATCACCAGGGTGAAAGTACGTATTTTTGCTAAAGGGGCAGCAGTTAGCAAGTACCATGCTGTCTGCAAGACACTTTCACGGCTCATGAAAAAGAAGAGCAAACTCTTTTCAGTTATCTCTCTGGGAATGTGGGGTTCTTGCCTAAGATCTGAAATTCAGACACTCGGAAAACTATTTCCCTATTGCCAGCCTTGTCTGCTGAACCCCTGCTAGGAGACTATCTGTAATGGTTGCTACAGCCAAGTTTAATTTCAATGATAGTCGTGCATCCACCTCATTTTCTGTATGTTCATCACTGTACAGCTATATAGGCTTGACAAGATGTGGAGACTGATGAATGATGTCCAAGCACAACGTTCACATGCAATGCATGTGACTGAAGCAGTGATGGAAGACCTCATTTTGCACAGGTATGCAGTGCAGTGAAGGCAATTGCTGTGTGGTACATGCACTACACAGCAAAGCATTGGGCTCCACTCCTTTGGACATTGTGACAGCTTGTGGGATTTCTTTAACTCTCTAACTCAAAACCAGTACTTGTAAAGTTCACATGGGGAAAAGAAAAAACACGTGTAAAACTTAACTTACGTGGCCACTGCTCAACAATTATCTGCCCAATCCAATCTGAGGGCCATTCTACATTCTTGTCGCTCGTAACACTAGAGTGGTTTAAGCTAAGAATGCTTTAGTTAACAGTGTGCAAGACGGTTATGTGAGCTGTATCACTGTCTATGGCTTTTCTACGCTGAGGAGCAAATAGCAACTCAGCCTGGTCAGCTTAGGATGTCCAAAACATGGAATGAACTTTCTTTGGTTGTAAAGTGTAATTCCTTATTTGCTCCACTGGTCTGCCTTCAGCTCATCCATGTAGATTTACATGTATTTTTCTATCACAGCAGGATAAAGTGGCAAACACCTCCCATTGGGAATTAAACAAATCTGCAGCGTCATGTTAGGTACAGTAACATCTTGGCGCTTCAGCCAAGCAGCAACAAAGACACACTCTTACAGAACAGTATAACATATATATATATATTGATGGTGCTTCACTCACCTCTGTCGGGCTGGAGCACTCATGGAGGATTTCCTAAAAACCAAGGAGGACTCATTTTAGTATTTTATGAGTTGACCTGTTCTCCCCTCCCTACAAAAAGGGTATGTAATCTTACTACATTTGACAGGCTAAGACACAGGGAAGCATCATGCAACACTGTATACATATATTCTGTACCCCACACACCACTACTTCTCTTTATAAAGGGAGTCCCTAACTTAAAGTCACCAAGTCCCTCTATCTGACCTGTAGTTTTAATTTCTGTTCTTCATTAGGGACCTCCAGGAGATCTTCAAGATCAATTTGTGGTTCAGGAGTTGCTGCCTCTGTTTCCTCTCTTAGCTAAAAAAAAAAATAAATACACAGTTAATAAACCTTCAAACTTCTACGAGCTCTAGAGGCCATCTTTAAAGAACTGAGCAGCTGAGAAGGAACTAGTTACAATAAAATTATGCTGCAAAGTTGAGGTCAAGATATAAATCATCTCAAAATAAGGAGGATCTTGTAAAGAGGGCGTGGATTCCAGCCCCTCTGTGGCGTCTCCTACAGCCACACATCCTGATGTACACATTCTTCATCTTTTCCCACCTCAACACTTGATACCACAGCTCAGGGATTGTCGTCCATCATGGGAAAACCCTTTCAAGAATATGCAACTGCAGTTGCCAGCTGCAGTGCAAAAAATGTAAGGCAGCCTGGGACAACCCTCATCTATGAAGAGTGTGCACAAGCGTTCACCAAACAGAAATCCAGCAGGCTTAATCTTAGAGAGGCTCAACTAATACAAGGGGATTTTAGGCTTTTAGGCTAAATACATTGACATAGTTGGTATTTACGCCAAGGCTTTTTGCAGTAATGGAGAGAAAAACAATTATGCTTTTGAAAGGCCTAACAATATTTTGGCAGCTTTCTCTTACAGACATGAGAGGGATATAATAGTTTCCTTTAATGTAAGAGAGACCTCAAGCTTTAGTGATTGGAGTAATAATCTTGTAATGTATGGAGGTGTTAGCTGGAAACGTTTGTAAACTCGATCACAGACACATTTTAGCTCCACATGTCTCTACAAGACTGTAAGGAAAGCAGGCTGTGGTTTCCAATGTATTTGCAAAATGAGTCTTTGACAACACAACACTAGTGATATTTGAACATAGTAATCAGCAGAATGAGGATACTGAGTAAACAGCGTGGTACCTGATTGCTGGGTAACATTTATGGATGTGTATGTAAAACATTAAACAATAAAGGCAATATTTACGGGGAAAAAAGAAACTTGTTCCGAGCAATCTCTTGATACCAAGCCAGAGAGGAAACAGAAAACCTTTGTTCAGCTTTGTTATGCAGCTGACTTAACAATAAATAATAAAAGAGTCAAATATATTGTACTGTGACCCACACAGCATTTCTTCTTCAAAGTAATAGTTTTCACATGACTGTTTAGACAACAGGTGTTGATCCAGCCTGACTTTGTCTCTGGCTAAGAAGCTAAATAGGCCAGGAGGGTGAGACAGGGTAGGAACTCCCTATGGCTTTCTGGTCCTAGTATGGATGGTGTTCTGGCTTCCACGTGCAGGGAATCATCTTGAAAATCAAAATTGTCTCCCAAGTCTTAGTTTTGTTGCAAAAAGCCTCATGATAGTAAATAGCATAGCATTCAGATTGTCTGTATCAGGAGGCTATGTTTGAACTAACTTTCCTGGCATTTGAATCTGCAATGCTGTTTATTCTGACTCTGTCACATGGGTTTCTGGAAGATGCTGAGGACCATTGCACTGCCAAGGGCAGGTGGAGCAAAGGAAGAAGCTGACAAAGAGACAATGTAATGGAAGCCGATGGATCCAAGGAAGCCCAGACTAGCAGGGCTAACTAAATAGTCTTGCCACAATGCACAGAGGAGAGCAGGAGGACCCGCTGGACACCTGGGGGATTACAAGTAATTTACTGTGGCACATGTACTTATTTGAAAAGATCCTGTGTAACCCCCTGTTGTACCCTATTAACAGTCTCTGACCTGGCACAGCATCATGTTATGTAGTTCCTGGTAGCAAATCTCTTAAGTTGGCCCAAATACACCAGGAAGTCGGGAAATCTGTTGTGCTGGAGAGATGCTAACAAAGGCAATCCACTGGCAATCTGCTCCCGTAAGGACATCGCTGGATTTCTCACTCTTGCCTGCTGGGATTTTGTAGTAGGGAAAAAATATCCCCTTTGGGCAGCTACTCTGGTGACGGTAAACTGCTCCTAATTCGCAGAAAACCAGAAGTGATAACGTAACCTGGCTTGTTTTTCTGACACCTTTACAAGTGTACATATGTAGATTTGGGCAAGTAGGAGTAGCACACAGGGAGCCTTATCTTGGGTCATGTTACTAATGGTACCAAGTGCTTCTCATCTATCTAAAAGGAAACCCCCAAACCTTCTCTTTAAAACTGCAGTAATTCCCCAAACGGCATGATGTTCTGTTACACAAAGCAGCAGCCATTCTCCTTGCTTAGCTCTGGCAAATCTCAACAGTCAGGCTAAGGGCTCTCTGAACTGAGCTATCAACCCCAGGGACAGTCCCTTAAACGCCAGTGCAGGCATGGTTGGCAGTCGACACTGTCACTGCCGCTGTTCTTTTGAACAGCTTTCACTCACCAGGACCACCCCTCTAGCACTTCGCAAACACGCTGAATTTTGCCTGTCTGACTAGGTCTAACGATAACATCTGCTCCTATGGACACTATATAATGTTTCATAATGCATTATCAAGATTATTACTATAATTTCATAAACTATAGAAAACAATTGGAAATTCACAATTAAGTCTTGAAGAGATTATGAGCTTTTATCCTTTGTCATTTTTACTAAACAAGCTATAAAATTGTTTGGGAAGTCTAAGAATGTTAATCAACAAACCAGGAGCAGTAATGTACTCATTTTCAGAGGAGCCAAGCATTTGTGACAGAAGGAAAGACCTTTTTCTCCATATTTGTTTTCTGCTGCATGTTCTTTGCATATAGCATAAATTAGAACAGAAACTATTTTTCTCTCCCAACATGGCATGAGAACCTGGTACATTCCCACAAATATCAAATAGGAAGCAGCCACACAGAAAATGATGATAATAATGATGATAATAATAATAATAAACAACAGCAGCAACAACAATAATAAAGACAGCCTCAGAGACAGTTCCTGAAGGTTGGCTCTTCACTCACAGAGATGGGAGTTGACATCGTTCTATGGCTCTCCAGGCCCAGAAATCAGCCTGGGCAGGCAAAAGCTTCTCTGTACCATCATGGCATATAGCAAAAAAACCTTTCCTGGGCTGTTCTAACATGTCCAGTTCCACTGTTGATTGCAATTTGAAACTGCTGCTGCTCAGAGTGGAAGACTCTAAGCAATCATCAGCTCTTTTTTCCTTGTATCTCAAAAATGTGCTTAACGCTGTGCTGGGGTGCAAATACAGAAAACAGGGCAGAAACGGCACAACAGCAGCAACAACAATAATAAAGACAGCCTCAGAGACAGTTCCTGAAGTTTGGCTCTTCAGCCATGGAGTTGACATCGTTCTATGGCTCTCAGGCCCAGAAAATCAGCCTGGGCAGGCAAAAGCTTCTCTGTACCATCATGGCATATAGCACAAAAATCACCTTTCCTGGGCTGTTCTAACATGTCCAGTTCCACTGTTGATTGCAATTTGAAACTGCTGATGCTCAGAGTGGAAGACTCTAAGCAATCATCAGCTCTTTTTTCCTTGTATCTCAAAAATGTGCTTAACGCTGTGCTGGGGTGCAAATACAGAAAACAGGGCAGAAACGGCTTGACAGTTCATTTAGTCCATCCCCATCCAGGACATGAATAAGCTCTTTTACACAATTTGTTAAACCCATCTATGTCTTCTGTTGAAGATGTACTGGCTTGTGAGTCAAGAAAGCTATGTTCTCTTACTGCATCAGCCATTGCCCTACAGATAAAAGCAAAACGCTTAGTCAAGCTGTTTAAATGGGTTTAAGACCATGATGTACAATATGGGAAATCCTTTCACCTTTTCCTGTACCACACTCCAAAGGAATTATCTCAAACATGGAAAAGCACTATCCCTTCTGAAAGCTCCCAGTGTAAGTAAGTGCCATCCATCTAAGCACAAAATATGAATAGAAGTGATACTACCAGGTTAAAATTTCAGTGTATCCAGCCAGTGCTGGAACTTGATTTAAATGTCACACTACCCTTAAGAAAAAATGTACCCTGCAACATCTCAAGTAAAGACTGGTACCATTCAGGTGCTGGACCTCGGCGCTCCTGGATCTTTCTTAGTGGGACAGCTCTCAGACAGGCAGGAAGAATTTAGGAGGGACTGTTCCTGGTGCAAAGGGAATCTCAGGCAAGGAAGACAGCTCTGGGGATTTGTGTAGGTGAAGGCATAAGATCTCTACATTTGAGAATGTATTTTTTTTTTCTTTTTTTCCCTGCTGCCAGTAGTGTGTCCAGACTCAGCAGCTACAGATACGGCATTATCCGGAGTGTCTCATTCAAACAGCAGCTATAGCTACACTGTTGTGACCAAAGGAACAAGGATACACTGATAACTCTAACCCAGCTAGCTTAGATACTGCTTGCAGCAAAGCCACTCACACATGGAGCTCAGTAACAAGAATCACTCTGGGTTTGTACATCTCTCTAGGTTCTGCACTCGTGCTGAGCAATAGCTACACCCCCCCAGCAGGTGCAAGACCAGAGAGTTTAAACCTAGTTGGATTATATTGGTGCAAGCTTCGCCGACTGCAGGCACACCAGTCAGAGAGAGTGCTGTAGCAGGTGGCAATGAGATACCTAACGAAGACCGAAGGTGAGAAGGTACTTCCAGTAAGGCAGAGCAAGCAAACTTCTGTCCCAGCACGCGGGGCCTCTAGTCCCGTTCACCTGACGAGTGAGGGGCTGATTTGCCCCAGCTACTCACCCGGCATTGGTACAGCTCCTGCAGCTGGGCGTTGATCCATTCCTCCAGGTCTAGCCAGCGCTGTAGGTCTTTGCGGTTGTACTTTATAGTTAACTTGCCCAGTTTCCTGTGTGATGATTCCTCCCCAGTTTTCTCTGGCGTCTGGAAAGTCACCCGGGGCAGTGCGCTGGAGTTGCTGGCCATGCTCACCGCTTCCTCCTTCTCCTCCTCTGACAGCAGGAACTCCCTCACTCCTTTTCTCTGTCTCCTTTAACCAACACCTCTCTGCAACTACTGGCTCACAGCACAAGCTACTCACAGACGCCAAAGGCGGGCAGCATTGGTGATCCCAGGGAGAGAGGTGGGGGAGACCACACGGCCGGGGCAGCAGCCAGGCTCTGCAGGCAGAGTTACAGGAGCAGATTCTTGGGTTTCACCATCAGCTGTGCTGACAGGAGCAGGGAGGCAGGCAGAGAAGTTGTTGTAGTAACATCTGTTGTTAAAAGAAGCCAAGTGAACCAGGGAATTGATGAACCAAGTTTGTTAATATTTAACGCAAGTCAGCTCCAAGAGGTGAGGAAAAAGGAGGTTTTAAATGACTGTTTTCCTACAGGCATAACTTACGTGCATGTGCAATTCCAGAGGGCTGATCCATACATAATGCATTGAATCCTGCTGAGTTCGAGCTCTACAAGCCTCTGTAAACTACTCTGCCTGCAGCTACAGCGTTTAGCTCCCATTGAAATGGTGTATTTGGCATTTTCCAGCTAAAGCACTGGACCCAGCACAGATAAGGAGAAGTGGTCTGGAGTCAGGTGGCTACATCCACTATTTTACAAGAGTGGGAATACTAGGTTAGTGACACTGCAAGCCAAACTTGGACTCAGCAGTCCCGTTTTACATTGTTCTACAACCTGTAAATTTATTCCAGCTTGCTCAAAAATGTCTGTAGAAATCCCGGTGGCCTGAATTTGAGATCATTTGAGCAAGGCACTTCTGAGATAAAACAAAATATCTGTGCTCTTATTAAAAACAAAAAGTATAGTATTTGACATGATGACACTGCAGGGGAAGGCCTGTCTAGGGATATAGCACTATTTCCTTCCCACAGAAAAGTATTCATGTTAAACAGGTTCACCTGCTGAAGCGTCATAAACTGCTATCGTACTATATATTATCATTGCTTGGTTTACAATCTCTTTCTTACTGGAAGACAGGTTAAAGGTCTGCAGCATTATTGCCCTATTTTAGAAGGATACGTGCGAGCAGCACTGTTCAGAGGAACAGAAATCAGGCTGGCTGTGTTTATCGGGTGCCAGGGCACTGGGACACCTGCGTGCCCTCTAGATGCTGTATCACACGTCTTTATTCATCTGTTCCCAGAGCCCTCCGTCGACCTGCCAAGGGAGCTGCCCTATCAAACGGACAAACCAGCTGAGACCCTCCATCATGAAGCAGATCCAACAACCCCAGTCTCATGATTTACGTGGAAAAAGCAAGTAAGTCTCTGCTGCCCCTGGCAGCCAAGGTACTTCCAGTTTGGAGACCAAGAGCTAGATAAACCAAAGGAAAAGCAACCAACCCTTCTCCCACTCACAGCTGCTGCCAGGCAGCATGGGGCAGTCTGCAGGGGGGCTGTTGTCCTCTGGAAGTCGGACCCAGCCCCCCTGCCAAAGCCACATTCCTGTGCCCAGAGGGATGGTGGTACAGCCAGCCAGCAACATCTTGCACACAGGGTGATAGAAAAATGGGCAGGGCCATTCCAGCCCTTCTTTTCATCCTGAATTTGAGCAAAAAAAAAAAGCCTTTTCTGACAGAAAATTCCACAAAATGCTGATCCTGAAACTTGCTTCCACATCAGTGAGGGATAAAGTATTAAAGTATACCTGAAACTGATATAATCTCCTCTGCTTTTCAGACAGCCTAAAATTTCTATTCAGAAGACAGCTGTCAGCTATTTAATTTAAGCAGCTTTACCCATTTTTTCCTCACTGCTTGGCTGTATCCTCCTTCTAATCTCACTCCTAAAACTGCCTTATTTAGACCAAAATTTCCCAGAAAAATCCATGTTGTGAGAGGCTCAGAGCATACTCAGTTAGTGCAGATTCTTCAGAGATTCTTAACTGTTAGAAACCTTGCAAATCCCATTGAACATCCTATAATGTGTTTACAACTATTGACTTTTCAGAGGTTAATATGCTGGCCCAACATGGGCAGATTTTCACAAGGTAACTCTGGACCAAAGGACACACACTGCCAGGTGTCAAGTTCCTGTCTCCAAATAGAAATGCTCTATTTTGGTGTTCAGGGACTGACATTTTTTAACAGGGGAAAACAACCTATACTTTCTTTGGTCCCGAGGAACTCCAGACAGGCTGGCATTAAGAACAGAGAACGAGGACCAGACTTACAAGAGAAGTTACCTGGCATCCCTGAGTCAATCCAAAAATTTGCAGCGGCTGAAGGGCTGACAGGGAAGTTGCCCCCTTCCTCCAACCCCTGTGCTGACGCTGGTGCTCTTTGTTGAGCAGTTCAGTTCACCTCTACAAGAAAGATGGGATTTGCCCTGTTAATCTTCTGCCAGCGTAGTTGAATTTATGAAGCACAGGATCCAGAGGTCACAGGGTAAGTGTGAGGAAGAGGGAAAGAGGAATATAACCTGTCCTGATGGCTCTTCAAGCAGCTTGAGCCGCTGTTGACTTGTAACCTCACTTGAGCATAAGCGATGCGCTGAGATACCACATCTGAAAAGGTCCACCGGCAGTCTCACCTCACCGTCCGCACTCTATCGACAAAGTAATAAGCAGACCCTGGTGCCCTCGTGCTGCTCTATCAGTGTCACCCTACAATGGAATAAGGCATTCAGAGGGGGATGTCAGAGGCCCTCTCAGGAAAGCTGTAGGCCAAAATGAGCCAGATTACAGGATGTTCATCATACTGCTTTGGCTTTTATGAGCTTAGTCGTGAATTCTTTGTAATGAGAAGGTGGCAATACAGAAATAAATGTTTACAGCTAAACTAGGCCTCTTCCAGTAATAAACTATTTTATTCTATCATTAAAGCAAGAGGAAGAAGCAAAAAGACTGTGTGCAAGATCACTCCGTGAGGGTGTGGTAGAAGTTGCTGCAGGCACAGGATTGGGTGCCTCATACAGGGTAAGTGATATCGTCCCCTTTGAACGAGGCAGCATCTCCTACGGGTGCAGCAGCCACCTGCCAGTGCTGGTAAGTGCCAGCTGCCACCAAACAAGAAGCAGCTGCATGACTCTTTTCACAGTGCTGCACCCCATCCTGTCCTTTCCTCGCATCACAGCAGATTCAGGTGGCCAAAGGGACAGAAGGACATTCACCATTTTGATTGGACGTGCACAGCGGGGGGATCTCAGAGATCTCAGGCATGGCTGGGAGATGAGATCTTATTTTCAACCTAGTTATCTCTCCTTATAGCCTTGGGCATACAACCTGGACCAAAATTTCAGAAGTGAACACACATACTTGGGCAACTAAGTCATCTAATCAGACAACCTGTTTTTTCACAAGAGCTGTGCACATGTAAGCTCCAGTGGACCTCCTGCTGCAGTTGCTGGTGTTCATGTTCTCTGCAAATGTGCTTATTGTTTATGTAGGTGAATAAAGGGGATTTAAACGTGGCCAACACATTTGAGTGTTAGACTGAAACCCTGCGCCTCAGTTTCCATGTGTGTGACCTGGGGTTGCTGCTCCTCCAGGCCTGCCTTAAGAGTGAGGTTTTGCCTCTGAAAGGAGGGGGGGATTTGATACTGTGGAGTTGGGCTTTTGTGACTGTCTGTGGCCCCAGAGAGGGCCACCAAACCAAGCTGAGCATCTGTGTCGTAGTGCCAAGCAGCTGTGACACTGATCCAGGCAGCAGACCAACCAAGTGCATGAGGCAGATCTGGTTACACTCCTCTGTTCTTGACGCTAATAATCTCCATCCCACACCTGTGACCTAAGCTGGTGCTTCTCTTTCTCTCTAAGCTGATGACTGTGGTGCGTGCTCAATAATTCAGCAGGGCCCCAGCTCATCTTTCCAGAGAACCAGGTCGGCCCCTTTCCCTTGAGTCCCAGCCTAGAGAGGAATGTTTTCCTTCAAGACAACCAGAAGCCACCCTCCCCCTGTTTTAGAAAATAATCACTTTCCCTGTGGTTGCAAACATGATAGTTAACACAAATTAAACCAGGGAAGACAGCAGAGGTGACTGTATCAATACTATGTTGACACCACAAGGTAAAGAGGTTCTGCACCCTCCTGTGAGCAGGAACAGGCACAGAAAAAAGTTGTGCGGATCAGAAAATGTAGCCAGGACTGGAGATTTAAAAAATCCAGAGCCCCGAGTGAGCAACCCCAGTACACCCAGCATCTTGACGTCCATCATCCATTTTCCTCATCCTCCAGTGTCTCCACAGGAGCGTGGAAACCAAAAAGGCTGCACCGTTGCCCCAGAGCTCTAGCAAGAAGAGGGAGACCGCATCATCTCTCACCTTCAACTCCTGGAGAATTAAGGAAGCAGCCAGGGGTTTCCAGCTCACGCAGTCCCCACCTCTCACCTGAGCAGTACTGCTACCTTCCCACCAGCACACGGAGAGGAGCCTATATATTCTTCAGTCTTACTCCTCTCCCCCTTTCATAAGGCAACGAAAGGGCAGTCAGAAGGAAGAATGCTGAGAGACAGAGGAAAACATTTCTCTACTTAGTATTTGACTGATCAACCCAAAATCGCACTATTTGGCACCACCTCAGAAAATAGACAGGTCTCAGCAATAAAGATAAGAGGTCAGATGAGCTAGGCTGCCTGCCTGCCCTCCCTCCTGCCTCTGTTACTGGCAGTCAAGTGAAGCATAAAGGCTAATGGCTCAGCAGCAGCTGAGAAGGGTAAATGAAAAATAGTTGTACTTACTGCTTTGGCACACCAGAGGAGTAGCAAACCCTGGACTCTCTCCTTATTTAGGCAATTAATTCTGCTTATCTGTGTCCATCCTCAGACATTCTGTAGGTAGTGGGATGATTAAGCCAAGGGGAGGAAGCCCTCCCCTCCCCTTGAATACTTAGGTGAAGCTGACAACATGAATTAGATACCAAATGGATTATTTGGGGATCTTTGAAAACCTGTCCATGTTGTTTTGTTGCCTTCCCTCTTGTATTGCTTTGCTGTTTCCCTACAGAAAGAGGCCTGCGGCACTGAAAGCATTATCAGTGTTTTCATGTGGCACAGAGGTTTCAGCAAGTCCTTGAATGGTAGAGTTGGAGACAAGAGAAGCAC